TGTAACAATCTTTATAAATATTGTTGGATTGGTACCCCATCTACTAATTTAAGTAATATTATAAATATTTCCATTCATGTAATTTTGGTGAATTCATAGGACTTCGGTTCTTATAGTGAATGTTGTCTGCTTAAAATTATGGTACAAAAATGTACCAAGTAAAAAATCTAAAGCACCTCCCAAAAATAAATACATGGCTAAGGAATAAAAGATTATAAATAGAAATAAAGAAGGCAACAGAGCGGGCAACGAGGAAATTAAAAAAAAAATCTCCATTTACTTCTTTTTTAATTATTTGTTATTTTGAAAAAAGGTGATCAAAAAATAAAAATAAAATACAATGAACTAAACAATTTGGGACAAATTCGGAGAATTCAAAGCAGGAACAATGTTCACGCCATGCGTACTATTTGGGATGGAAATTTTCTACCTTATTAGAGTCTCTTCAAGAGGCTCTTTGAATATGAGATATTTTGTATTTCAAAGATTCAACTCTTAATATCATGTTCTAAGAGATTCTTTAAATTGACATTTTAATTTAGAGAGTGAGTCTTTATAATCAAATGCATTCAAAGTGTTTCAATTTTTAATGTATGAAAATATAAAATAACTTATGATGAGTTTGATTGCAAGCATGAAATTTGCATGGAAAAAAAATAAATTCTAGGTAATTCAATTGCCTAAAATTTATTTGCATGAATTAAATATTTTTGATTGATTTGATTTTCAATTTAGAAAATATTATATTTATCCGTTATTTATTGATGGGTAAATAAGAAAGAGAAAGCGAGAATAAATTCCTTGGAAAATAAAATCCTACCTCTCTAAAGAAAATATTTTCCTTGATTTTAAGGAAAATATGGTCACATAACTAAAAGTAAGAAAATATTTTTCAGGAAAAAAATGGCAATCAAACAGTACAAAAGTAAGAATTTGGGTGGAAAAAACACATTTTTCATAAAAAAATATTGGTAATCAAACGCATCCTTAAAGAAAAGTTAGTTAAAATAAAGGATAGAAAAATAATAAATATTTTTTGGGAATAATAAATTTAAGTATTAAATATAAAGAGTTTGTTGGAGGATTTCAAAATTTTAACATTTAATTATAGATAAACTCCAAATGATAGAATATATTTTTTTAAAATAAAGAATCTATTAGATATGCTTTTAAGGACGTGTTGCATGTGGAGAATTTTGTCATCCTACGTAGTTGAGTTGAATTTGTCGCACATTTGCTATTGAAAACAATGCTATTCTACAATATTCTCTTCATGTAAAACTTTTTATTGTAACACATCTAATATTAATATCAAATTGACAATACACCTTATTTATAAGACGAAGTATGAGACATATCTCTACTCTAATTATGTTGCTACATAGAAAAATCTATTTCTATATAAAAAAGTAGCGGCTCACGAAATAAATAAATAAACATCATTTTTACCTTGTCTCTCCTTTTCTGATTGATTTTCCATCGTTAAGCACTACTTTATACAATATTTTTCTTTTATTCATTTTCCACGTGCAACTGAATAACATGAGGAAACCACAAATTGAAAATTAATTATTTATTGAAATTTTATATTTCATATGTAATGAAAATTGTACGCACTACTTGAACTTAACATACATTTCTAGATTCACCTTAATGCCAATGTGTGAGAAAAACTTTAAAGAAGCTGCTACATGTCCATTCATTTTATATATTAAGTTTAACATTCATGATGTGTAAAAACTTGGCCATTGATTTGAATAACATTTTTGAAGTCAATGCCCATGATTTTGACACATCAAAGAACGTCAAATTTATTGTACCAAAAGAATGTATAACTAGTTTAATTCAAATTCTAGTTGCATATATACATATACATCAAAGAATATCCTATCTGTTGGATCCGGAAGGATTGTAATGAATGACATTAATGACACGATATGTAGTAATAAAGATCACAACAAGAAATGAGATTAAAAGTAAAGAAGAACAAAGAAAATTAATCGCAAAAGAATAATGTATATTAACTGACAATAAGAAATTACAGATACAACAATAATGTTTAAACAAAATTGATAGAGGAACCTTGGATTAATAGACCACGTTCCAAACCCTAGAAGATCCTGAAATGTAAGAAAATCTGTTAAAATTAGGTTACAATTGCGCATAGAACTTCGACTGAGAGATAATTTCCTTTTCTTATTCAACTTGGATACAATCTTTCTTTTCAAGTTAAAATCAAATACGCAATCTCATAAGACTTCTAACCATATTTTAGTCACAAAATCTAACACTATCTAAATCTTTCTATACATTGTGGGTTTCTATCATTGCACCCTTTTTATTTTCATGTCATTGTATCAACCTAAGGGCACTTCTTAGTCGGCCAATATCATATTCCAAGCCATGTGATTTGCATTTTTGATCAAACAAAAAAGTCATTCCAAGAAAGTCGTAAACTTATTAATATATTAATAAGACCTATAATAGTTATCCTATCAACCCATTATTTTCAAATATTAGAATTTTGACTCCTCAAAACAAATCACCGTCCAATATGAAAATACCCTTTCTGGAAAATTAATTGTGGTAAATAGCATGTTAAATAATAATTTTACTACTATTTTTTTTATACTTTGAAATTGTAACACGTCTTTTGTAAGTCTTGTAATTCAAAATAATGAATTTCGCCTTTTGAAATAAGTTTATAGATCTTTAATTATATTCATACAACATTTTATAATTCTTCATTAAAGTTGAGTAAGTTTTCATAACACATTAAACAAAAGGACTAAAACCATTTTCTTTATTTTTATTGCTTTCGATTGGTTTACGGAATAACTAATTCTTTGCTCAATCCTAATCAAATAAAAAATATTTTTTTTTTCATTATAGTCCAAAGGGATCTAATAAAACTCAATTTCCAGTCCAATCACATGGAAAAAATGAAAGAAAATTATTTCCACAATCAAGAAAAATGAAGATTTTATCAATTAGCTAGATTTTAGTGTATATATTTTATTTCATAGTCGATAATATGAACAAAAAGGAAAGGCCTTTCCCCTTTTTTCTGTTCTTGACCCACATAGAAAATGACAAGTTGTTAATTTATAAAGTTTGACCTATTGCTCTTAGGAAAATACGAGACACGAGGATTATTAACAAAACAGTGCTACCAGTGTAATTTATCAAATAATTAGTGCTATTTAGGTCAGAAAGTCGGTGTAATGGGCCCGCAAAACCCTAATGCCACCAACGTCTATTTCATTCACAGTTCGTCAACAAGGGCAGATACCAGAATGAAAGGGAAATTTGCACAATGGACTAAATCTATTCTCATTAACAAGATGATCCTCGACTTTTAAAACTAACAAATTAGTCAGCTACGGCAGGTTTCATAAGATCTACAACTTACTATCCACTCATTTTGTATGGCATTTAAAAATAATACCGAATAAACACTTAATCTTTTAAGGTAATTGTACAATTAATCCCTAACAACAAAATTGCCTAAGCCCCTACTTGGTACAACTAAAAATTATGTTTTTAGTAAATTTTTATAAAATAGACATGTATTTGAAATGTTGATAAAAATTATGAACCTCATGAATTGTGATTGAAAATAAATTTAAGAAAAGTAAAGTTTCAGAAAAATGGCAGCGAAAAAGTGGCTAAATCTTTTTAAAATTTTCTAATTTTCCTCAACAAAATTTGCCTTACTTCAAATCTCTAAACACCCATCTTATTCAGAAACTAAGCCTCTATTTGATGAGAATTAAAGTCAGAACATTAATTTAAGTCAAATTAACAATTAAGTTTAATAACTGATTTTAAGAGATTCACGACTTCTACACCACATATTTCATTAAATTTTATCAAAATCTACTAAAAATTCATTAAAATTTGGGTTTTACCAATTGAAATTGTAATGAAATTCTTTAAAATTTAGGCATCCTTAATAATTAGTGAATTTATAAAGATTTCATTATTAGATGGATTTTAAAATATTTGAATGGATTTCAAGCTTAAAAATACATATAACGAAATTTTTTGAAATACTACCATATTTAATGAGAGTTATGTAGAATTTGCAGAATCGATTCAAATTCATGAAATTCATTCGGATTTATAATATTTTAAAATCCATCAAAATCATATCCTCGTAAAAGTTTATGAATTCGAATTCATGAGGGTCACCCCACTACATGATAGAGTTTTGGACTATTTTTCCTAATCTATTGTGTACACAAATATAACGAAATTTTTTATTCTAAAGTAGCTTGTTTTTTAAAATATTAAGGACCAACTTGATAATGGCAATAGATTAGAGACCAATAGTACAATATCCCTCGTGCTAGCCAAACAAACGCGAGTTGTTCTGTTACAACTCGAAGGAGGAGCGAGGAGCACCCCTCACACCCGCCCCCAGGGCATATCTCCCAGTGGCAAAGGAGAGGGCAGATAGGGCTCAGCCACTACATGATAGAGTTTTGGACTATTTTTCCTAATCTATTGTGTACACAAATATAACGAAATTTTTTATTCTAAAGTAGCTTGTTTTTTAAAATATTAAGGACCAACTTGATAATGGCAATAGATTAGAGACCAATAGTACAATATCCCTCGTGCTAGCCAAACAAACGCGAGTTGTTCGGTTACAACTCGAAAGAGGAGCGAGGAGCACCCCTCACACCCGCCCCCAGGGCATATCTCCCAGTGGCAAAGGAGAGGGCAGATAGGGCTCAGCGCGGTAGTGTGCAGAGTTCGATTCCCCGTAAGGTGGAATTGACTTTGTTGCAAGCGGGAGTTACCATATGGGTTAACAGCCTTGGCCTATTCATATGCTCTCCACCCTGGCTCCTAGAAGGCACATCCTGCGATTTACCTCCTCCACGATGGTCCAGGGCAGGATCGGTGGGGGCCCTTAAGGTTGGGGTTTAACCTTTTGAGGAGCACCCCGCACACCCCTTCTCTGTCTGTGAATATATATTTGATTACTTTATTAATTATTGTTACAAATTTGCCACAGAGATATTTTCGTTGGCGTATATAACCATATGCTTTCTTTATTCATTCCATTCAGAGCATCCTCTTTACTCTTTACTTCTTCCATATTTATCTCTGTGTTCTTTGGACACAGAATTGAAAACCCTCTGTATACAGGTAAATAGTTTCTTTAATGGCTGGTTGGGTGTTGTCAGAATGTGGCATTAAACCCCTCCCTCAAATTTTTCCAAAGCCCAGAACGAGTTTCTTCTCAAATTCAATAAAAAACCACACCCATCTCCAAAAGGTTCAATTTTTACATGCAAACAAGAAGATTTTGAATCCCAAATTCTCTCCAGGGTCAATTCCAAGGCTTTCGAGAGACAAAATATGGGTTTTAAATGTGAGTGCTCCATCAAGGATTGCATCTTTGGATGAATATGAGAAAGGGGAGAAAATGGAGACAATTGATGGTGTTAACGGGATTGGGGAAGAAGAAGAAGGAGAATTTGATTGTGGGGCACCCCCACCATTCAAATTGGCTGATATAAGGGCAGCCATTCCAAAGCACTGTTGGGTTAAGGATCCATGGAGATCTATGAGCTACGTTGTGAGGGATGTGGCTATTGTTTTTGGGTTAGCAGCAGGTGCAGCATATTTAAACAATTGGTTCATTTGGCCTCTTTATTGGGCTGCTCAAGGAACAATGTTTTGGGCATTCTTTGTTCTTGGCCATGATTGGTACTTCCAAATATCCCATTGTTTTTCTTTATGTTTCGGCTCTGAATTAACTTATGTATTAGTGTGTGTATAGTGGCTTCGTCGGTGCTTGATTTTGATTTAGATTTAGATGCTGATGAGTGGGTATGATTTTATGATTTATCCCTTATTCTGTATGGCAGTGGCCATGGGAGCTTTTCGAACAATCAGAAATTGAACAGTGTTGTTGGACATATCCTGCATTCTTCAATTCTTGTGCCCTATCATGGATGGTATGCTCCTGCTTGCTTTTTACTTCTTCCTTTTCCTTGTTTGTGTCACTTGTTAAATTACTTTCGGTCTCATAAGATACTTATGTGATGATTTTTATGCTGAACGGTAGATAGGATTGGGGAAGAAAAACAGTTAAAATCTCGTAGGTTTTCTTTGCTGTATTGTCCAATATTGTGTTGCTAACATTCCCTTACATTGTCTCTGAAGTTCTTGAACACTGTGTCTTCTAAGAAGTTAATTGGATGACTTTTACAGGAGAATTAGCCATAGAACTCATCATCAGAACCATGGGCATGTTGAAAATGATGAATCGTGGCATCCGGTTAGTTTTCTATTCTTTTAAGGGATTCTTTGCGTTTCAAGGCCTTGGCTAGTATTTTTTATTCAATCTGGTTCTGAAGTATTAGTTACATTACTTTCACTTTTAGTTGCCCGAGAAGATTTACAAGAATTTGGATAAAGTTACACAAACATTGCGATTCACGGTGCCTTTCCCCATGCTTGCCTATCCTTTTTACCTTGTAAGTCAGCAGCTTCAAGTTATATTTTTCTTTCTTCATTTTTTGCGTTAGAATTGTATGGTAAACTGATAAATATTGTTGTCTCCAGTGGAATAGAAGTCCGGGAAAGACTGGTTCCCACTTTGATCCAAATAGTGACTTGTTCATTCCAAACGAGAGGAAAGATGTGATCACTTCGACAATATGCTGGACGGCAATGGCTGCTTTGCTCGCGGGTTTGTCCTTTGTTCTTGGTCCAGTTAAACTTTTGCAACTCTATGGTGTGCCATATTGGGTAATTTCCAATTTTCCATTGTTGGTAACATTTCTTGCTGTCAACATAGATCTTAATTTTCTGAAAAGAGGAGAAAAAGAGTGAACTCCACATTGGTTTTATTTCCAACCATTGAGAATCTTCTAATATAAATTTGCTTCTTTCAAGGGTTTTGTCATGTGGTTGGATTTTGTTACCTATCTTCATCACCATGGGCATGAAGACAAACTTCCCTGGTACCGAGGAAAGGTATTTTAGTGTCTTGATTTTATGCTTTCTTTTCGTTTTGTGTACTCCTATTTCTTTTATCTTAAGAAATATTGGGCATCTTGATTAGATAGAGGGTAGGAAGCATATATTGGGGTTTCCCTTTCCAAGTTCAAGATAGAGCGTGATTGGTTGGGATTTAAAGTTACTTTTCTTGAAAGTATGTTAAGACTTACTTTCTAAAAAAGTAAGTTTTGTCAATGCAAGAAGTAACTTTAATACCATGTTCGGCAAAATTAAGTAAATTTAAATAGGCTTGACTTAGTTTTAAGCATAACCAAACATATTTAGAATACATGAATCGTCACGCTTAAGTAATTGATCACGATTGATCCCTTAAAAAGAGTTAATTTTCTTGTGTAGGAATGGAGTTATCTCAGGGGAGGACTCACGACTCTTGATCGTGATTATGGATGGATTAATAACATCCACCACGATATTGGAACACATGTGATACACCATCTCTTCCCTCAAATACCACACTATCATTTAGTGGAGGCAGTGAGTAACCTTTTTACCACATTTATTAGCTGCCATGATTGATATTTGACTTCACGACACGTTGAATGTTGATTATGTCTTGACATTTTGAGCCTTTCCTTTCTTTGCAGACAGAGGCAGCTAAACCAGTCCTCGGGGAATATTATCGTGAACCTAAGAAATCAAGCCCTCTGCCTTTCCATCTTATTGGCGATTTAGTGAAAAGTTTGGAGCAGGATCACTATGTTAGTGATACTGGTGATGTGGTATACTACCAAACTGACCCCAACCTTAGCAGCTCTAATAAATCTAAGTGAAGCAATGGAGTGAGATCACAGTAAATTTTCGAGCCTGGTTTACATTGAATGACCTCTGCAAATGACTTTAACCAATATCCAATCCAGGATTTCGACACTACCATTTTTTGTTGATTTTGGCTCGACTTACTTTGGTCAGAAAGAGAATCCCTGCAGTTAATGATTAAGGGATTTCATTTATTATATTGACAGATGAAAGTTAAAATACTGTCAAACTTCATATTGTACAAGGAAAAAATGGTGTCTATTTATTCTTCCCTGAAGAGCAACTTGCCTCTTCGGCAAATATCCCTTGTATCATTGAGACGGCATCAAGCCAATAAAAATGAAGGCGATATTTCCACTAAATTTAATCTATTTCCCCTGTTGTATGTAGTTGACTGAATGAGACATCTGCATTTTATTTGATTAGCAAAACCAAGGAGTTTGATGCATACATTACCATTGATGGTAGGTCCATTAAAAGTGCCATATTGAGAAACTCGTTTCTTGTATGATGGTTTTGATTAAATAAAAAAATTCTCATTTCCTACATAGTTAGTCATTATCAGAAATTAGAGACATCAGTAGTGGGATTCCAATCTTCATTAGGGTTTTTATGTAACCTTTATTCTTTTGTGTGTATCGTGGGTGACCTGGTGTGAGGGATGGATATGGGGCATAGCTAGTTGTGGTGGAAAAATAGAGATTTCCTTTTGGGAAAATGGATTCCCTTTGGCCAACATATCTATTGTGAGGTGACACCCTTTTGGCCTTTCTTCAAGCATTCAAAAGTTTCCAAGATCCATCTATGTTGAAAAAAAAAAATAAGAATACGTAAAGAGTGACTTTTGGTCCATTTTGTAGGACTTTTGAAAAGTAAAAAGTTGCTTCTGAGATTTAGAATATGCTTTTAAACATGTATTGATAATTTTTTAGAAGCGTTTTATTTGACAGCTAGTTGTGGTGGAAAAATAGAGATTTCCTTTTGGGAAAATGGATTCCCTTTGGCCAACATATCTATTGTGAGGTGACACCCTTTTGGCCTTTCTTCAAGCATTCAAAAGTTTCCAAGATCCATCTATGTTGAAAAAAAAAATAAGAATACGTAAAGAGTGACTTTTGGTCCATTTTGTAGGACTTTTGAAAAGTAAAAAGTTGCTTCTGAGATTTAGAATATGCTTTTAAACATGTATTGATAATTTTTTAGAAGCGTTTTATTTGATTGAAGCGACTGCTGAAGGAAATTGACTTAATGTATCTTTTTAGAAAAGCTTTTCTAGAAATAGAAGCAAAAGTAGAAACTCTACCAAACAAGTTATTTGTAAGTTTGCTAGTAAGGAATGACTTGAAAGTCATATTCAATACTTAGATTGCTCAACTCATTATACAATTTGTTATGAACTGTCGAGTTTGAATTTGATCAAATATAGATGAATCCATTCAGACAAAGTAACTCGATTCATCTTTATTTCTCCATTCTATTTGGTACAATTATTTAACTTATTGGCCCACTTTTTACAAACTTGGGTACTCGAGATACACACGTACGATAAAAAGCCAACAATTTCGGCTGCAGCCTGCACTAGGAAGAAATAAGGTTTGATCAACTTCGTTGACACCAATTGCACAAACTTGAATGTAGAAAGTGAATTCAGTTCCCAAAACATTCACCGAAAACAACAATCTTTTCTCATTGGGTTAATGGCATTAAATTCATATGATAGTGCTAAAAACATGGTCTAACATTAAGAAAAATTAAAAAGTACTTTTTATGTGGTCAGAAACATAGAGGCGCAAGCTTGATCTTCTTTAAATTTTCATTAATATAGTCTATATTTTAATCTAAGTTAAATTCAATAATGAATTTTAATTATATATTTTATAGTTCTCACAACTTTTGAATCACATATTTCATTAATTTTTATCAAAATTTACTAAGAAATTGATTTTAATCCCCACCGAACGAGGGCATAATTATGATGTTTTCTTAGTAATGGACTTATTTTTAATTTGGTAAGAGAATAGGGATTTGGGTGCAATTTTAAATATGTGTAGGAATTATAGATATTATGAGCTCGTTTGACACAGTTTAAAAGTCAATTAAAATCAATTTTTTGATCGTTATTTCACTATGTCAGCCGTTATTTTTGAATTATTTTCTCACAGGTAAGACTCACTTTATCTTTAATAGTAAAAAAATCAATTATCAAAATCCCTACCAAACAATTACTATAAACCATAGCCCCAAAGTGATTGTTTAGAGTTTCGTAATATTGTGTGACTAATAAATGAATTATTGATTCAAATTTTTGAGTATCATATTATTGACAAAATTTTAGGTATATTAATGTTTTTCTCACTCCATATGATATTAGTTTTAAGTTATTTTGCATAACTTCGGGTCTATTGGTCATTGGCTTGGGCACCTATTTTCCACATTCAATGACCTCACAAACATAATTACAAATGGACGGTTCTCCATCACACACACCTCAGTCAAGACACCATAATCTTGGATAACAAGTCTAAGACTTTCCCGTCGGACTTCAAATCTTTGAACAAAATACAAAATCAAATTCAAATTTATGATTTCATAACTTTGACTAAGCTCAAGTCTCCATAAAACCGCATTGATTGGGCGTTTGGTAACTATTGACAATACTAAAAGTTATAA